GGGTCTTATTTCGAGTTTAGGGTTGGGGGTTTCGGGTCGAGGGGGCACTAAGTAGGTAGGTCAGTAATGGGGCTAACTCAGGTTCTTGTGTTGCTTGGAGGGTAGATGATTTTGCCTACCAAGTTCCGGTGACGCTTTGTGAAGCGATCTTTGGAACCGGCTAGTGGGGATGGGGGTTCAGGGTTCTCTGTACCGCCCCCTCTTCCTTACATGGTAATTTCCCCAAATAGGGGGACCCCAAGGTAGACCCCAAATATCAAAATCCGTATTATGGGGACCCCCAGAAAAGTACCCCTAATTTTGGGAAACCCTGAACCCTAGACCCTAATCCCTAAACCCTACATATCCCTTTACATCCCATATATTTCCCCCTTCAAGGTACCCTTCATTAATATCACCTAAGCGCCGCTGAGGCTGTCCGACCTGCAGGACAAGGTGGAAAAAGACGGTGTTGCTGCAGCCAAGGCCTGCATCAAAAAGGGGAGTTGGTTAGGGTTTAGGGTGTAAGGTTGGGAGATGTCATGTGGGGTTATATAGGGGATAATGGACAAGAAAATTGAAAGTACTAGTCTAAGGTCACCCTCCTTCAAGGGGTTATGTGGGGGAGTAGTACAGGGGTTATTAAGGGGGATACTGGGAGTTGAGAAAATGGCTCACGTACGGCTTAGGGTTTGACACTATAGAGTTTGGTGCCTAAGGGTTGAGGGATATTACCCCAGGAGCGGAGAGAAGACTGAACAAGAAACAATTGAAAACGAACTGGAGACTGGGCTCATACTGCAGTTTATTTGGATGGGGTGTTGCATGAATTAGCATTGGGGTTCCTCTATTCATGGGACATGTAGGAGCTGCAAACACTTTGTTGTTGTTGTTGGTGGGGTGCTGTGTTGGCGGTGGTGGTAGTGGTAGCAGCTGTTGGGGAGGTCGGTGGGGCCTGGGGTGGGGGTGATGCTGCTGGTGCTGTTGATGGCATAAGGAGGGCCACGTTAGCATGAACTGGGGGGACAGAGGATCTGTCCTTATACGGTCCATCGAAGCGAGGCATACGAGAATTACACCAAGTTCTGCACCCGCGGCAAGCGTGACCTTGGCTACGACATCCAGGACGGTGAAAAGACTGTCGAGGACCGCCCACATGGTAATGTCCCGAAGTAAGGGCAACCCCAATATAGACCCAAAAATATTACAAACCTTATTATAGGGACCCCCAACAAGGTACCCGTAATTCTGGGCAACCCCCACATTTGCCCTCCGTTGTCGAGAGGGATCAGCTTCGGGACTTATAGCACATCCCTAAGGCCTTAAGCCCTGCACAAGCCTTAATTTTTACATCCTTAAACCCTTGAGGGAGGGGGGGGGGGGCGGGGAGAACCTTTTGAGGCCAAATGGCATGGTGATCCCCCAGTCCTTTCAGCAGGTTTTCGTTGGATATGTGACAGCTGCCCTGCAGATGTGAAAAGTAGATCGAGCAACGAGCAGCCAGCCCTTAAAGCCAAGAAGTCTGCAGGAGACCTTGCAGATCAGCGGTTTAGGGTTTAGGGTTAGTTTTGGGGTCACCAATGTCAGTCTCTAATGGCATGTGTGGTAGAATTTGTTCAGGGTGGCTCATCAAGCATGAACCCTCCATGTGTGTTCTGCTCAAATTTTTCTCCACCGGACAGTGAAGCCCTGTTCCCTTTGATGATTTATCTCCCGTTGCCAGCCTTGCTACACATTAGGACTTAAAGTCAATGGTGGGAATGTGCATGGGATCCTACTGAGAGCATATAGGGACTATGTATTTGGATATTATCCCAATAACGGTAGAATGGAAACGGGGCCTTTGCAAAGCTAAACTCTACTGTGAACCCTGGACCTTGGACCCTAAACCCTTAAACCCTAAAACCTGTATAGACCCTACGCCGTTAAACCTATGTAAATCCTAAACCCTGAAACCTATATAAACACTAAACCATAAGTTGGGAGAAGCTGCTGAAAGACTGCTAGGAGCTGACTGCGACTATCGCAAAGGCCACCTCGGACATCGACGTGTCCACAACGAAGCTGGAGGCCCGACATAGGGGGTCTAGGGTTGTAGGGTTAAGGGTTTCGGGGCGTAGGGTTTTAGGGTGTGGGTTAAAGGTTTTACGGTTTAGGGTTAGGGTTGTAGGATTTGTGGTTGAGGGCTTTGGGTTTAGGGCTTAATGCAAGGCAAGCTAGGTCACCAGCAAACTCTTGACCCCTACCCCCCACCGCTAGATTTTAAAGGAGCGGCTGATTTTATTGGTACTGTTGAGATCTTGTGGCCGAGCGCACGACTTTTCAGATCTTTGTGCCTCTTTAGTATTAGTAACAAAACAGGTCCCTTAAGGAAAAACCATTAGAAAAGGATGTTCTTAAATATGTTTCGGTGTTTATTCAAATCTTGACTGTTGTTTCAAAGAAAACTTGACTAGTTCAGTTCTTTTCTCCTGGCACCACTACAACAATTTGTCCCCTTCTTAGTGGTCCCAAGCTTCTAATTGCAGGAGCTGCAGGCCACGGTGACAAAGAACGAGGCTGACCTCAAGGTCCCGCCTATCAAACCAGGGCAGACTGGATTGCCGTTACGGAACTTCATTTGATTCACTATTTTGGGGAAACCATATTAGTTACTATGTATACCCATTATGGTAACTTGAATTAAGTTCCTTAACAGCAACCCAGCAGAATAAACATCACAGACTTTCTGAGGCTTCGAGGGGGATTCTGCTGAATTGAATGCGGATCATTTAGCATCCTGGGCACTAGAAGCTACAGAGTTTCCTGCACGTATGGACATGGGTGTCCTTATAGCATTGTGTTCTGTAAATTTTTGCTGCTCCCAGTATGAGGGAAGGGAGGTCAGGCCAGATCTCCAAGGCGTGGGGTGCCAGATTCCGCACTGATTATGGGGGATTATAGAGGGGTTATAATGGGATAATGGAAAAGAAAATGGAAACTACTATATAATAATAGGGTATATATTTGGCAGGAGTGAGGGTGAGGGACTGCCAAGGTTGCAGCGTTGAGAGCGTAATTGGCAAGTTGCCTGTGCAGAGGCAAGAAGGCAATAGACAGTACGATCAGAAGCAGCGCATTATTGTAGTTGCCATCCTGGCAACTGCCCAATGCAACAAACGCGCACACACACACACAAGATCCGGCCTACGATTCGAAGGCTTGCAAAGATCCAACGTGAAAGATTCACAGCGTGGTGCTCTCTAGCTGCGCACAATATCTGATTTAGCAGCAAGAAAATTACAGCAGACTGTAAAATGGCTCCAACTTGCCGAGTGCCCACACGACCAAGGCAACAAGAGTTCGTGGAATCAACCAGGGCAGGGTCAACACGATTCCAAAGTTGCTACCACCACCCTGCATGCAGACCTTCATACAATGTACCTACATGGCTAACCATCACGTCAACGCAGCTGTCGCAGGAAGCATAGGTTCACCCAATCCTGCACGCAAAGTCTACAAATGGACAGTTTTCATGTGAGTAGCATTTGATTCGGGATGCTATGGTCCCCCACCTAGACTAAGACTATATCCTCCTTTCGGTTGTGGTCGTTGATAAGAGAAAGGTAGCCTTACTTGGTTCAACCACCCGAAGAAAAAAAAAATGAGGCTGCTCATGTGGTAGTTTCCCAAAATTAGGGGTACGTTTTTGGGGGGGTCCCAATAATAAGGATTATAGTATTTTGGGGTCCTATGTTGGGGTCCCCTTATTTTGGGAAACTACCATGTTGGATTTTTGCAGGCTGCCCAGGAGATGCGTGTCAAGGAGAAGGCCTTCATCCTGGGTTCTAAGAACCAATATTAGTTGGGTTCTGCCCCCACCCAGTAACAGTCTATATTAGGGGTCCTATTAAGGGCTATATATAACCATATTATCCAACTGTTACTGAGGGGGGGGAGTACCCAAGATATCAGTAAATTGGAGAGAGGGCATTATTTAGGTTTATGTAGAGTTCATATAGGGCTTATGGTCCCCCTTAAGTAGATAAAAGATGGGGGTAGACGGGGATCTCATTATGATATACCCAAAGCCATATTCTATCTACTTAAGGGGGACTATATGTCGATATATTCCCAGCACTGTCACGGCTTGCATGATGCGCACTCATTTGCACAGACGGGGACTTCACCCGACTTAGCGTCCAGACACAAACCCCAACAAGATATCAAGACTCCCCGCTTCCGGGCCCGCAAGAGTTGCCGAATCTGGCAAACCATATGGGGGTTTCCCAAAATCAGGAGTACCTTATTGAGGGTCCCCATAATAAGGACTACAATATTTTGGGGTCTATATTGGGTCCCCCTTAATTTGGGAAACTACCATTTTGCCAGATGTGGGGCATCTGACAGTGCCCAAAAGGGGCCACAGAGCAGCTCGACCTTGCTTCCATTTGAGGGCAGTCATCCTCTAAGACAGTTTTGACGGTCAGTACTGCCGGGAGGGGGATCTTATTAAAAATACCCAAAAGCCATATTCTACGTAAGGGGGGCGCTATAGACCGCAGAACTGCCAGCTGGTGTAGTTGTCTGAATGGATTTCATCCGGCAAGGCTCAGAGCAATTCTTGGCAAAGGGTGCTGAAAGAACTCCTATTGTAGCTGCCCGAACAATCTCATCCCGGATGTCAACAATGCCGGCGCTGCTCTTCGAGCCCCGGCCAGGCCGAGCCTTGAGAGCTTTCTTCTTAATTTGAGGTTCTAAATCAAGCTGTAAGTGCTGGCCTGTCGAGTTGTTTCTATAACTCGAGCTCTAAGCCTGCTGCGCAGCAGACGTGGGCAACGTGGTCCAAAACTTCTCCCAAGCCGCGTGCGCTGTCCTGGGGAAGACCTCCGTGCCCCCGCCGCCAGCTCCTCCTGCCCCTTGGCATTGCACACAGGCTCCTTTTCCTTTCGCATGTTGCTGTCTTGCTTCTGGTACCACTTCGGCCGGCATACTTCTGCAGCTGGCTTTCCGGCAAATTTCAGGTTCCCCTGTGTGGCCAGATGATCCCAGTTTACGCAAAGGCTTGCACTGCAGACGCGTCTTCACTGTGACCAGCGAACAGCTATCCCTGACCACATGCACTGTGTCAGTAATTCTGGGTCGAGTGAGGGCGCCACTTATATCCACTGACATCTCAGTTGTTATGGCTGCAGGTGGTGCCGGCACTGCCAACTCTTCTCGGCAGGGCGACTCCGTGCCCCGCGGAGGAGACGCAGACGGAGGAAGAAGCTCCGCGCTCCGCTTGGTGCCAGGACGGTCGCAGAGCATTGCGGTGCGCCGCCGGGAAGCCACAAAGCCTGATCCCCTCCCTGCGTTGCAGGAGATAGACAAGAGATGGGACTACTTCTTGCCAGGACCGGGCTGCCACATGCAAGTGGCCCTCCCAGCGCAAGGGGTGATGCTCTCGCTCCGTTGCAGGAGTCCGGGCGGGCTCACGGACGCTGGGCATGACGGGGTTCGAGCCGAGTGCGGAGTCCATGGCCGCTTGGAGTGGAGCTTCAGATCAGGGATCAGACCTCAATGATGTGAAGCTGCACATGGACGGGGCCAGCAAAGCGCCATATGCGTCATGGGATGTAAGGCATCTTTGGGCTCTTTTTTGCGTTCACGATTCACATGTTGGGGTTAGCAGCTATTCCAGCTCTCTCGTGTCTTTCGGAGTCCAAGCTACACATTGTGAGCATCTGTCTGACTTTTTCCCTGGAAGGTCTTGGTAGAAATGAGGAACAACACGAGCACAAAAGCTCTTCACAGTGATTTCTGGCCCCCCCAGGCCGAGCTACTCACTCCGAAGGAGTTCCGAGACGCAGCTCAGCTAGAAAGGAGTATCCAAAGAGGGCCTGCCCTGCATGCGTGTAGTAAACGTCTGCATTTTGGGTCTGAGGCCCTTTACTAGGTTTTCCCTTTTGAGTAACATGAACCGCGCGACATTGCACGATGCCCGCGTATTGTCAGCGAAGGTGCCCGAACTGCGTGCTGTTTCAACTCATGTTCAGTTCTTTTTGCGCGCCTAGGTGTTCCGGTTGCGCACGAAACTGCCGTGCCCTCAAGCGAGAGATCGTCCATCGTGCTTGCTGCATGACGAGCACCGAAGGATGCATCGGGCAGCTCAGGAGGAGATTTGACAAAATGGAGAAGAGATACAAGGAGCGCTTGTGCGTTTACAAATCGTTGTGCAGCCTGGCTTGATAGTGACGGGGAAGGGACGCCTGAAGAGCCACCTTTTGGCAGCCTTCCCCTGACCTGCAACCTGAATTCATGCAAATGGCACTGAGGCTACCGGCCAACGAAGTTCTGTCCGATTGCCGCGCACTACGAGCTGAAGATCCAACAGGCCGTACAGATCCACATCCCGATTCCTCAAAGGCCTCCGCAAGCATTTGACGCTTGGCAAATTCAGTTTAGGGATGTTTCAATGTCATGTAATCGGACCCCTAAAGACTGTGCTGCAGTGCGACCAAGGGTCCCTGACCGGCAAGCCCTTGATGGAGCCAAGCATGCATATCTGGATCAACGCCACAGACAAGTTGCAAGTCACCAAGTTGTGCCGCCCAACAGCACCAGTTGGAGAGCTAGTACGAAGGGCCCATGGATGATGCCGCCGCCAACGGCATCCGCAGCTGCGACCCAGCAGGCCCTCTGCTGATAGGGCCGCTTCTACGCCTTCGGCCGCGTATTCTCCGGCTCTATCGCCACCGGCCAGAAGGTGCGCATTCAGGGCCCATACTACAAGCCAGGAAGGACCTGCGCGTGAAGAACGTCCGTCGAACTGTGCTGATGATGGGCCGCGCCACTGAGCAGATCCAGGATGTGCTACTCGGCAACACGGTGGCGCTGGTGGGTGTCGACCAGTACATCTTGAAGTCTGGTACCATTAGGACTTGTGGAGGATTCCCACAACATTGCCGACATGAAGTACATTGTGTCCCTTGTCGTGAAGGTTGCCGTGAAGGCCAAGGATGGCAAAGACCTGCCCAAGCTGGTCGAAGGTCTGAAGAAGCTGTCCAAGTCTGATCCCCTGGTCGTCTGCGCTACGGAGGAGAGTGGGGAGCACGTGATCGCAGGCTGCGGCGAGCTGCTCGTTGAGATTTGCCTGAAGCAGTTGAAGGATGAGTATGCCCAGTGCGACTTCATCGTGTCCGACCCCGTGGTGTCTAACCGCGAGACTGTCGCCGAGACTTCCAGCGTGACGTGCCTGGCCAAGTCGCCTAACAAGCACAACCGCATCTACTTGCAAGCGGAGCCCATGGACGAGGAGCTCAACAAGGCCATCAAGGATGGCGCTGCTGGTTCCAAGGCCGACCCCAGGAGCGAGCAAAGCTCTTGACGGAGAAGTTTGAGGTGGACAAGCAGGTGGCGCAGACCGAGATTTGGCGCTAATGGTTCAAGACCGATAGTGCCAGCACCGCAGTCGACTCCACCGTGGGAATGCAGTACCTCGATCATTGAGATCAAGGAGCACGTGAACAGTGCGTGCCACTGGACCACAAAGGAAAGTTCCGCAGTGCTTCTTTGAGTTGGGGGAACCCATAGAGCAGCCTCTTGAACAAAATCAGCAAGATGGAGGGGCTGATCCTGGGCATCCGCAAGCAGAACAATCTCAAGGTGGAGATGGCAGGGCGACCTGAAGCATGCGGAGCCCAGTTTAAAAAGGGTTGTGCGCTCGGCTTCCGAATTCTGTCATAGCAACATGCGACACAGCAGAATTTTAGGGGCTAGGATTGCAGAGTTAGGGTTAGGGTTCTCCAGGCTTAGATTCAAGGTCATCCTTGTGGCAGCAGCATTGGTTTGCGTGGTTGATGGTTTTTGGTTTTCACGAAAGCTGGCAGAGATAAGCCAGGGAAAGCTTGAATTTCGATGCTCCGACTTGGGTGGAGCATGTCCGATAGCAAGCCATGCGAGACCCGCAGCAAGAAGTCTCAAAGAAGTTCGTGCAAGCACTCAGAGGAGGGTCCATTGGAAGGGCGAACTCTGCACGGGAAGCCTCATGGGTACATATGATCGTAGGTCCTACAGCTTCCCGACGAGTAAGTCTTAGGGTAGTCCGGTCTGCGCTGCCTGCATCAGCCAGGTTGCGGGGTGCTTGTAACGAGGACTCCCTCGACCTTGAAATCTGAATGGGTCTGAAACCCTGAGCCCTAAACCCAGAACCAGGATTTAGGGATTGGGGCTTAGGGTTTAACAACATGGTAGTTTTGATTGACTTCTCCACTCCTCCTACATAGAGCCTTCCGTATGTAATCCTTATGCAAGTGAGGTAGACCTCAAACCTTAACTCGATTTATGCAGGTTGAGAAGTGGTCCTGATTGTTAGGGCTAGGGATGGGTTCATAACAAAACAAAATCTAATAATACTCGATAAGAGCCAAACCCTCAATCAAGAGGCAGAGTCCTTAGTATGGTACCCCCAGAAAAAGGACTTCTGATTTTGGGAACCCCCCAGACCCTGAACCCCCTGAACCCCCCAAACCCTCAACCCCCCGCACCCTAAGCCCTAAACACCCTAAACCTCTAAACACCCTAAGCCCTAAACATCCGAAACCCTAAACACCCTAAACCCCCAACACCCTAAAAACCCTAATACCCTCAACCCCCCGAAACCCTAAACCCTAAATCCCCTAAACCCTGAAACCCATAGAGGGTCCCTGGAGAGGCAGAGCACACGTCCGCAAAGGGTGAGCTGGAGGAAGCCATGGACATGCTGGCCGGAGCTTTAGGGGGGAATTCGTTTGAGGGATTAGGGTTAAGGGGTGAGGGCTTCGGTTTAGGGTTTTAGGGTCTAGGAACTCGGATAATAGGGATGAGGTTATAGGGTTTAGGCATTGGGCCACAGGGTTTAGGGATTAGAGCTTCAGGTTTAGGATTATAAAGGGTTATAAGTTATAGTATTTAGGAATATATGTAGAGGGCATATAGCCTCGGGGCAAGGGATTAGGGATTAGGGTTTGGAGTTGAGGGTTTGGGCTTTTAAGGTGTAGAGCTTTAGAGTTTTAGGGTTTCAGGGTTTGGGCTTATGGCTTGGAGTTTGGGGGTGTTTCGGCTTAGGGCTTAGGATTATGAATGGTTATAGTATTTTTATTAATATGCATATCGAGGAGTCTATAGGGTTATAATGTAGGGGTACATATCTATGTTACGGAAAATGAAATGCAAACTGCAGGTTATTCTGATATTCAGGGAGGATAACAGGGTGTTGAGTAAGCCCTTTCCCGGTTTTGGGGGTCCTAAATTCTGTATACACGAAGCGATATTCAGAAAGGTTGCCTTTTTTTAGTCCTAGGTTACTGAAGACCTAGATAAAGGGGCTATCTAGGGATGCATGGGATTACATTCACAATTTTGAGGATTGGTATGGAAAAGAACATGCAAACTGCCATGTTGTCAAGCTTGGTGGGTAAAAAAGATAGAGAACGGGATCCCTGGTAGCCCTTATACATTCCCAGTTCACAGTACCCATATGGTAGTTTCCCAAAATAAGGGGACCCCAATATAGACCCCAAAATACTATAATCCTTATCATTGAGACCCCTAAAAGGTACCCCTAATTTTGGGAAGCTCCCATATCTCCATCACCTCATTCCCAGCGAAGAACCGGTAAGCTGTTCAATGGCGTCCGGCATTTGGGGGTCATTTCTTCAAGCTTCAAGGGGGCACCATGAACCCTGAATCCTCAACCCTACCCTAAACCCTAACCCTAACGTTCTAGACAGATCGAGGCTTCTTTTCCTTTGCCCAATGTTGCCACCCTCACCTTTGGAATGTGTAATGATTAAACCCCTGCCCTAGTCTGAACCCGCGGACCGCAATGATAATCGACATTGTCAGAATTTTGTTACTAGGGGGGTGGGTGGGTTGTCACTAGTACAAAAAACCGGAAAAAGATATGGGTAATAATTTAGGCACCAACAAACCCCATAAACCGCCATACTCGTAAGCGCAGTTTCCATTCCATGCTCCATCTTCTCTTCCGTCTGATACTCCATTATACCCCTTCTATTCCCCCAAATACCCCTATGCACCCTTATACACGTTGTCTAAGCCCTCAGCGCTAGGGACGTGCGATCAAGACCCTCTCGGAGAAGCTTGGCGGTTCGTCCCTGCTGCAGCAGCAGGCCTCTCCTCTCAGACTCATGCACCCATAATTACTCTTATGAATGTGATTATTGCCAGTACTTATGGCATTGTTACTCCCACTACAGTTAGTATTTTGCACATTTGTACTCCTACTACTCTTTTGCAATTAGTATTAGGATTGTTATTACTATTATGTTCACTGTCATTCTTGTTGGCCTCTCCTCAAGCATCATTTTTGTTGACTCTGTCGGTATACTGATCACCTGTATGTTTGGTGGGTTATAGGGGCTGCTATGTAGGGGTATATAGTGGGAATGCGAAAGAAAAAGGAAGCTATTACATGTATGTTTATGTAAGGATAGTATGCCAAAGGGTAGTTGCAATGTTTGCATCATTGTACGTTCGCAAAGAATTAGGGAACGGCGGACTGGCCGCTCTTCACTGCTCTCGCAGCTTGGGGTGCAGAATATGATTTACGGATTTGGCTGCGCTGGCAAAAGGAATTCTAGCGGCTCTAGCAAAATAATCATAATGCGGATAAAAAGTTTCGAGTGTTCTTGCTTCTACTATTATACTCTCCCCCTAATAAGGCCCCCCCACCCCCCTGATAATGAACTTTCCCCCTGATATATGGTGGTACCATTATGTGGGGATGCTGATTATGAGGAAAATCCATATCAACCCCTGCATAAGCTCCGTGTCCATTTCATTTTCCATGCTCTTTCCATTTCATTCTCTATTCTTGGGGTAATATCCTTAAACCCCCAAGAGATGAGTAGTATGTTTTCCGATCTAATTGGAAGGTCGAGGAGAAGACTGGCGGCCTACTGGAGGACTGGGGGGGGGGCGCTCTTTTCAAGGAGTTATAGGGGATATCTAGAGCAGAGGTATAGAGTGCTTGGAGAGGAAGATTTGGGGATTCCCAATCAAATCGAGAAGGAAATGCAAAACGCAATGGAAACTGGGCTCATGTAGTGTCTTACTGGGATGATTTGGACCTTCCAACAACAGTTCAGGGTTCCCCTATGCTGAGGATGATGATATCTTGGAATGTATAATATGGGGAGCCTCGTTTTGGACATACCGTGATAGGTGGTGTCCAAACTCCAAGTTGGTGTCCGAAAATTAGCCTTGCTATGGGTAGAAGATTATCGCAAACCGATGTGGGGACAAGCCAGAACCCTAGACCCAGCAACGAATGTGTCAGGCTCCCATATGAGGACGTAACTCCTATCTGTCCCTGAACAGGGTTCAAGGTGTAGGGCGTTGGCACCATGATACCGTCACAAGTCTTTGGAACCATTCGTCTGTACAAGACGTTCATTGCGGTCGATACCACGGCATTCGCTGATGGCGTTTGTGATTACTGTGTTAGCTTCGGATAACAGGCGTTACTG